TAGGATGATTACGTTTCACATGACGCCAAGATTAAACTTTTTTGACACACTTGTTCCCATTGCCTGAAAATTGCATTGCACATCATCATTTTTTAGCTTACATCTAGCTGACTTTTTTTGTCCATTTTCTTCTTCAAACTCAAATATATTTTCCAGATCATTTTTCAAAAAGCGACTATCGATTATAGGTGATTGACACAAATTTTGGTTAGAAGTCATATCCGGACCTAATTTAATTTTAATTAAAAATTTAAATTTTGTTAAGAAGTAATGTATTGCTTTTTAAATTAAAAATTATATTATTTAAAAAATTCTCATAAGAATCTTACCTTTGATGTGCGATTACGAATTTACGATTGCAGAAAAAAAGATTAGTGAAAAAGTCAACTAGTGTTTACAAATGGCGTATAAAAGGAAGCCATTGCTTTGCTATGAAAGATTCTAAATATCATAACAAAAAAAATTTTTTGAGTTGAACTAAAAGATACAAAATATTAAAAAATAATATTTTTTTTATTTTTTAACTAAATATTTTTTTTTATTATTGGAGCATGGAGCACTTAAAATTTGTGTGCTCCGGCTCCGCTCACGCTCCGACCAGAATATGGTTGCTCCGATTGCTCCGCGCTCCAGCTCCAGCTCCGCTCCAAAGCCCTGATTTTATTTATATTAATAAATGTGACGACATTTTTCGCGCATCACGTTTCAAATTTCGTTTATAAATTTTACGACGTATCTTCATATTTAATGATTTCTTCGTCCTTCTCACTGCAGTTTCCCAGCTTGGAGACACGGACGAAGTAGGAGCGCCAGGAGGAACTGGATCTCCTGGAGGGACAAAATGTAGCATCTCCAGGAAATGATGGATGTCTTCAAGGATTTGCTATTTCGATCACTAAACGATAAATTTATTTGGCTTTATTTTTACAGGAGAAGAAATGCTTCGTGTGGAAATTTTTTTAACTAATTTTTTAAAATATTAATTTAGTTTTTCTGGTTTTAACTAATTTTTGAAAATATTAATTTAGTTTTTCTGGTTCATTTAGATTGCTTCGATAAATTTTGAGCTACAATACATTTTTGCCTAATAACATTCAATTGTAGATGTCACTAGCGACTTAGTTGATCATTTTTAAATATAAAAAAAAACTAGATGTAGAAGGATATCATACCTTGTTTTTTGTTGTTCGTTGAGTTTAAAATTATTTTTAATCTTTTTGTAAACGAAAAATTCAAAATTCCTACCTTCGCCAGCTAGCGTTAATTAATACCTTAATTAAACTTCCACGATACATATCAATATATACCATCTTGTTATGTCAACACGAATTAACATACTATATCACAGTCAGCCCTAAATGTTATTCGGCAGAACATGTTGGCTCTACTCTTTTGACTGTTTTTAAAAAATTTTGAGATGTGAAAGTTTACTAAGTCGATCAAAATGTTCAAATTTGCGAATAATAAAGTTTCTATTACAAATATAAATAATTCCTTTCAAATTAATTTTAATTTTTAACATTATTTCGCCAATATTGAGTCTCTGTTTGGATTAAAATTTTTATAGGATTTCAATTTCATGGAAAACATGGATTGAATCACTGGATTGGTCAGGATCGACAAAGCAAGGGTTGAGTACAGAGTTGATGTTCTTGTAATAATCATCTTATTTGGTTGGCTGTTGTGGTTCTCGAAACTGTCGTTGCTGTGGCTGTTGTGGCTGCTGCTGTTGCTGTTGTCGTTGCTGCTGTTGTGGCGGCAATGGAAGCGATGTAGAAGTTGTTGCTGGTGTTGCGTTCATTTGTATGCTATCGAACTGGTCTGCAAGCGTAATAGGTTGCCTCACACGCTGCAGGTTCAATGGTGGTGGTGGTGGGCTGGTGGCTGTGTTGTTGTTGTTGGTGGTGGTGGTTGTGGTAATATTTTTTGCTTCATGATGAGCTTTATAGTTTTTTACGTTACTGCGTCAAAATATTGTTGTTGTTGTCTGAAAACTCATTCCAACATGTTAATTATTCCATCACTCACCAGAGCTTTTTAAAGAAAGAAAATTTTAAAAATTTTAAATAGATTTTTATGATTCCCATAACTTTGGGGTGGTGATAAAAAATGATAACAAAGATATGCTGATAAATCAACGTAGAACATGATGGTCCTAAGCAAAAGGATGAAGAAGCTGACTTAAGAAACAGAAACACTGGCAAGGGAAATGATAATTCTACTATGATGAGGAAGGTAACAGTGAAGACGGTGGTCCTAAAAATGCAAATGATGACCATCGAACCTTCTCGTAGTAACGGCCGCACCAGAAGATGACCGCACCGGCCAGGCTGGCAATGCACACGAACACCTCGACGAATCCCAACAATGCCAATAATGACGTCATCACTGTTTTTATGACGTCCGTGCTCTTTGACGTCGGCACGTTTGATGACTAATAAAAAATTACTGGATTGTTTGCTAGTTATTAACATTATTGCGGCTTAAATCCATGCCATGCCTTTTTTGAGTTTTGCACAGGCAGCACTCGAACCAGGTCTGCGCGTAATGACGACGTTTCTCAAAGCCTGTCACTTACTATCTGAGCTAACTTGTCAACCGGATTGATGAATGGTAAATTGACAATGATTGCAGACAATAATAATGATGATGATGATGATTAAAATAATAATAATATTATTATTATTATTATTATTATTAACATTAACAAAAACAATAATAATGATGAGTAGACCATCATGACTGGAGCAGAGGCATCGATGATGCTGAATGTGATGAGAATGCATGAGAACGTGCATGATGCCAGGTTCGTCGTCGTCCATGCTATCAACTGCACGTTATTATCATTTCATTATCACTGTTGTAGTAGTAGTGGCAAATGAAGTAGTAGCTGTAGTAACAGTGGTAGTAGTGTTAGTAGTAATTGTGTTAGTAGTAGCAGTTGCAGCAGCAGTAGTAACTACAGTAGTTTTAGTAGTAGCCACAGTAGTAGTCGTTTTAATATTATATAAGTTACGATGACGTTGATGATAATGAAGATGATGCTGATAGAAACGATGAATCCTTGTGAACTAGGCAAAGATGAATTTCATTTATATATTGATGTCATTACATTTATTTTTAAAATATGCAATTGGGTCAACTCGTCATGCAAGCAAAGTTGTTCTGACTAATCGATTACATGCCGACTAACATCACTGACGTTCATTTGCAAATATTCTAAGCATTTGTCCACACGTATACACGTGTGCTTGTTGTGTGTGCTTGTTTGTGTGTGTGCAGTGCATGTGTTTGTGTGTGTTGTATGTGAACGTGCATATGTGTGTGTGTTTGTATGTTTGTCTGTGTGCGTCTGTGTGTTGTTTGTGCGTCTGTGTGCGTGTTTTGTATGTGAACGTGTGTGTGCGTGTGTATGTCTAAGTTAATAAAAAAAATAATATCCAACGTCAAAATACGATTTTATTTTTGCATCTGCCATTTAAAATACTTATGAAAAGTTTTCAAATGAAATCAAACCAGATAACGTTTGGACGTCTTGTGAAAGAAAGCTCCCGTGATTCCATTCAGGATGAACTGTTTATTTATTCGTTCATTTGTTTGTTCATTCATTCACTCATTCACTCACTCATTCATGCATTCTTTCAATTGTTCTTTCTTTCATTCATGTTATCCAGTCAGACATTTAGTCATTTGCATATTTCCAACACTTATTAACTTATTCGTGCATTTGTCCACCACACCTCACACAAAACCACACACCACCACACACGCCGCCACACACCGCCACACACTACACCGCACACCACACGCCGCCACACACCGCCACACACCGCCACACACCACCAACAACTGACCAAAGCGCCACACCAGACAGCATATCCCAGATGTTGGTGGAGAGTCCAGCATACGAACTCCTCCCGCTGGCACACTCGCTCCACGACGATCATGAAGATGATGCACAAGCAGCCGATGGCGATTTGGAGGATGCTGAAGATGATGAGGAAGAAGAAGAAGATAGATGTAAGGTTGCCGCAGCATCCATCGGCTTCTAAGTCGTTCGCGTCTGCTGTTAACGCCAGTGTTGATGAGTAGCGGGATGGTGGTGGTTGTTGTTGTTGAAGTTGCTGTTGGGCCTGCGGCTGTTGTTGTGTTGGAGGTAGTTGCTGTTGTTGTGGCTGTTGCTGTTGCTGTGGTTGTTGTTGGGACAGTGCATGGAGTTGTTGTTGTTGTTGTTGTTGTAGCGGAAATATTCTCGGTAATCGATCCATTGTTGTAAGGATTAACTTAGAAATACTTTCCAAAAAATACTGCTAATCAAAATAATCATTTTTTAATGGCTTTTTTGTTTGCTCCTCGAGGTTTAAAACTATTTTTTTATTACAAATTCAACATGAAAGTTTCAATATGAAAGCAACACTGACGTCATTCAAGCTTCGAAGTGCAGGTCAGAGGTCACATTCCCATCTCAGTCGACTTAACTCAAAATTTGAATGCCCATTCCATGAAAAGTGCTACATTTTTTAAAATATAATCTCCACTTTTTCACAAGGAAGAGATCTAGAAAATATTTTTACGAATATTTTCCACTCATTTAGCCGCAAATCAAATCATTCTACCTGTGCTTGCTCGCATGAAATATCCAATCAACACATCACATGCTTCTCATTTGTATGGAGTTAATTTTTTAACTTGCATGTGGTTTGGGGAGACAGGAAGAAAGAGAGGAAAATGGGAGAGAGAAAGAGAGAGAGAAAGAGAGATATGATAAATGTGAGTGGACGCATGTTTCTACCTGTACAGCAGATTCTTTATCATTCTGTCTGATCTGATGGCGAAGTTAATGTAATGCATGTAGTGTATTGTCTTTTTTTTATTATATATGGCCGGTTTTTTAATGCTTTATAGGACAGCTACGCCAATAACAACTTTGAAAATTAATTCTCTAATAACAAAATGTTGAACTGTTTAATTAGTTAAAGGTATAAGACAGTAATTGAGGTAACATCTTCGATAGTAATACTTGATGTTTCGGATGAAACATTTCATAACGATATTGGCAGTGGCGAATCCAGGTGGAGGGAGATGCTGGAATGCACCACCACACACCAAACCACAAAGGTGGAAAATATTTAAAATTTCTGTGCAAAAATAAGGCCAACATTTTAAAAATTATTTCCCACCGAAACGGAAATTTAGCCAAAAAAGGGTCGTCACTATAAAATTTTGGAAATCATTCTCTCCCTTCCTACCTCCACACCGCAGAATTCTGCATTTGCTACTGGATATGGATATATATGTTGGTATTCGTTGGTGTTTCACACACAGATTCTTTCAACTTCAACTACATGGCTATGTATGTACTTCTTTTTTATTTGGCATTATCAATCTAGGATTTAGATCAACTCTTTTTTTTCATTGAGTCTGAACAGTTTTCTCTTAAATAAATATTTATAAATCTACTACATTTGATCGAAACTAATATAAACACGTTTTGGTTATGACTTGATTGCTACCCTCATCATTGTCGTCGTCGTCATCATCAATAAGTAAAAAACATCAACTCCATCATCTGTCGGATTGAAAATTAAATTATTTAAATACATTTGACCGTGAAATCAACTTTTTTTACTCCATGTGCCATTCGTCCGTAAAGATTTTTTCTTCTGCATGCAAGGATGGTTGTTAGACAAACCTTATTCATTGTCTTGGTCAGATGTAAAGAAGTTTGCCGACTTAAACTTGTTTATTTGCTTGTAGGAGTGAATCAAGAGAAAGAGAGAGAGAAAGAGAGAGAGAGAGAGAAAGTTGTACCTCACACTCACATGTCATTTCCTTTTTTTATCTTAAAATTAATCGTAACCCAACCAAAAAAAATTTATTGTGCAGCAGTCTTAAAGATACTCCTTTGATTATCCTTTATGTTACGATTACTTTTGCTGCTACTACTGCTGCTACTACTGTTGCTGCTTCTACAACATAAACAACTACGACAACAACAACTACTAGTACTTTTACTAGTCAAATACCCTATATGCTGATGCTTTTTATATTTATACTTCTTGTCCTCCATCTAATATAAATAGTGTTCTTCATAATCTATCTCTATGTCTTTCTTCAAATTGCATGGTCTGACTGTGTCTTAAACTTAATCCTTCTTAGTTTGAATTAATTTGTTTTAATAAATATGGTTGTTTGATTGATTGATTGATTGATCGATCGATCGACCTTTCGATCGATTGATTGATTTACTGACTGGCTGGCTGCTGACTGACTGACTGACTGGCTGCTGACTGACTGACTGACTGACTGACTGACTGACTGACTGACTGACTGACTGACTGACTGACTGACTGACTGACTGACTGACTGACTGACTGACTGACTGACTGACTGACTGACTGACTGACTGACTGACTGACTGACTGACTGACTGACTGACTGACTGACTGACTGACTGACTGACTGACTGACTGACTGACTGACTGACTGACTGACTGACTGACTGACTGACTGACTGACTGACTGACTGACTGACTGACTGACTGACTGACTGACTGACTGACTGACTGACTGACTGACTGACTGACTGACTGACTGACTGACTGACTGACTGACTGACTGACTGACTGACTGACTGACTGACTGACTGACTGACTGACTGACTGACTGACTGACTGACTGACTGACTGACTGACTGACTGACTGACTGACTGACTGACTGACTGACTGACTGACTGACTGACTGACTGACTGACTGACTGACTGACTGACTGACTGACTGACTGACTGACTGACTGACTGACTGACTGACTGACTGACTGACTGATTCACTTCTTATTTGTAATTTAATGGTTATTTACAATGTACAATTTAAGCGCTAAAAAAGTAAACTTTTTAAAAAATTTACGTTCGTTGTGTTTAATAATCACTAAGTTTACTTTTCATTAAATTCAGAGTTTATTTTATAATATATTTAGGCAGGGAGGTGAGTCGTTCTTTTTAATTTAATTTTTTTTAATTTTATTTAATTTATTTTCTTTTACTAATTCTTATTCTCGTTCGTTAATTATGGACTGAATTTAATTTGGTTATCGTACGGTTTTTTTTTCTTCAAAATTTCGTCATTTCATTGATCCTTAAGTAAAAAAAGGATTAGGACTAGGTAATTATTAATTAAGGAAAGACATTAAGAAATTAAGATGAGATTTGAAAGAGATGTAATGATTGGATGAATCATCCGGCTTTTGTGTGTTTTAGTAGTATTAAGTAAGTAAATTGCTAAGAGAGATATATGCATGTTGGGGATGAATAATAATAATAATTATAATATATTTTTTGAATAATTATTTGTAATTATTATCATATAATTTTCAGAGAGTTACTAGCACTGTCCAATCATCAGCTTATTATATAAATTATAGTTATTAGTTAATTCACATCTTTGCCAACAACATGTCTGCAGTCAGTGATTTGGATAGGTGGGTTCTTTTGTGTCTTTGTCCACCTACTTGTTTGTTTGTTTGTTCATTTGTTTGTCGACTCAATAATATGTTCAGTTTGTTTTTATATGTGGTCATTTATTAATGTGTTGTGTGGTTTATTTACACATATGCAGGCAAATAGAACAGTTACAGAAGTGTGAGATAATAAAGGAGAGTGAGGTGAAGGCCTTGTGTGCTCGGGCGAGAGAGATCCTCATTGAGGAGAGTAACGTGCAACGAGTTGACTCGCCTGTCACTGTTAGTCCCTGTTTGTCTGCCTGTTTGTTTGTTTTGTTCACGATCATCTCTGTTTGTTTTTCATGTTCATCTCTGTTCATGTTCATCTCTGTTTTGTTCATGTTCATCCCTGTTTTGGTCATGATAGTGTTCATGTTTGTTCTTTTTCTGTTTTTACTCCTTTTTCTAGTTTTTGGATTATGGTTTTCATTGTATTTTATTACATGAATTTTTAAAATTTTACACACTTATTTACTATTCTATTGTTACATTCATTCATTAATTCATGCATTTATTCATTCATTTGTTCATCTGCCTATCGGTCTATTTTTAATGCATACATATTGACATACTTTCTTTTTCTAGTTCTTTGTTCATTCATTCATTCATTTATTTTGTTCATTTAATTTATCAATTCATTCATCCATTCCTTCCTTTATTCACCCATCCATCAATCCATTCATTATAATTTCGTTTGTGACGTAGGTATGCGGCGACATACACGGCCAGTTCTACGACTTGCAGGAACTCTTCAAAGTGGGAGGGGACATCCCCGACACCAACTACCTTTTTATGGGAGACTTCGTCGATCGAGGTTTCTACAGTGTCGAAACGTTCCTACTGCTCCTGGCTCTCAAGGTTGGGGCAGGTTTTTTTCCTCCATTTTCTGCTTACCTATGTTTCTTGATTCTATTGCATTTCGAGGAATTGGAATTAATAATAATAATAGTTATAGTAATAATAAAATAATAATAATAGTCGAGTTATAATAATAATAAAATATTAATAATAGTTATAATAATAATAATGTCATTTTATATAGCGCCATGGCAAGTGACCGAGGCAAGCGCATTATTAAAATTATTTTGTAATTTATTTAAATGAATTTTTTTTTTTTATTAGGTCAGGTATCCCGACCGCATCATGCTGATCAGAGGAAACCACGAGAGTCGACAAATTACACAGGTTAGTGTGTGGAGATGGTTTTGTTGTTGGTGGTGTGTTCGTTAGTGTTGGTGAGTTGTTGGGTTGATGTTGTTGTTGATGTGTTTGCTGATGTGTTTGTTGATGTGTTGTTGTTGCTTTATATGGGTACTTTGATGGTGGGATGTTGTTGTATTGCTGTTGCAATATCTTTTTGATTTTTTTTTTTTGAGGGGTTTCAATTTGATCTCGAGAGTTTCAGAAATTCATTATATCTATTTACTTAATTTATAAATGTTGAATATGAATGAACAATTACAAACAAATCAAACGCAGGTCTACGGTTTTTACGACGAATGTCTTCGAAAGTACGGATCGGTAGCAGTCTGGAGGTACTGCACGGAAATATTTGACTACCTCAGTCTCTCTGCCATCATCGACGACACCGTTAGATGGCTACTGTTGTTGTTGTTGTTGTTGTTGATGTTGTTGATGTTGTTGTTGCTGATATTGTTGTTGTTGCTGTTTTGTTGATTTTTTTACAGTGTCGAAGTTGCAGTCTGAGTTGCTGATTTTTCATCTGACTCTGACGCCTGATTTTTTTCAAATTGTTGTAAACAACAACGCCTGTTGTTGTTTAGTTCTGATTTATTGTTTTTCATTGATCGTTGATTGTTGTTCATTACATTGTGGCTGTAGATATGTATATATTCATGTAAACAAACCAACCAGCTAACCAACTAACCAACCAACCAACTAACCAACCAACCATAAGATCTTTAGATATGTATGTTCATTCAAACCAACCAACCAATCAGATCTTCTGCGTGCACGGTGGCCTCTCCCCCTCCATACAAACCCTCGACCAGATCCGAGCAATCGATCGCAAACAGGAAGTACCTCACGACGGACCCATGTGTGACCTTCTGTGGTCCGACCCTGAAGGTCAGTGGAGATGGTTGTCGTCGAAACAGGGTTTAATGGAGGATTATAGTTTTTTTTATTAATAATTCTTTTTACCGTTGCTAAAAAATCTATTCGCAGATGCAAATTTGAAAAACACAAACACTAATAAACAAACACTCATACCCGCACTCGCGTCAAGTTCTTGCACATACACACACGCACACACACAAACTGCACACGCAGACACCCAAGGTTGGGGCGTGTCACCCCGAGGTGCAGGTTACCTGTTCGGGAGTGACGTGGTGCAACAGTTCAACACATCGAACAACATCGAGTTGATCTGCAGGGCACACCAACTCGTCATGGAGGGCTTCAAGTGGCACTTCAACGAAACTGTCCTCACCGTCTGGTCTGCACCTAATTATTGTTACAGGTTCGTTTTTTGGCTGGCTGCTGTTGTCTGATTGGCTGGTTGCTATTTGTTGTTCGGTCCTTATTGGTTTATAGTTTTTAATGACTGATTGGTTGGTTATTATTGATTGTTTGTTGTTGTTGGTTGTGATCGGACCATCCGTCTGTCATTGTAAATTGTAAATAGATGTGTGTATGAAGGTTGTATTGTTTCGTTATTGTCATATCTTCAGGTGTGGGAATGTTGCCGCTATTTTAGAGTTGGATGAACATTTAAAGAGGAACTTTACCATATTCGAAGCCGCCCCACAGGTATCTGCAGTTATCTGTCTGTGTGTGCTTGTGTATGTGTGTCTGTATGTATGTGTGCGTGTGTGTGTGTTTGTTTGTTTGTTTGTTTATCGGTGTTTATGTATTTGTTTGTATGGGTGTTTGTTAATTTGCATGCGTGCATGTCTGTCTGTCTGTTTGTTTGTCTGTCAATCATCAAACACAACCAACCACCAATCACAACCAATCGCGACCAATCACTAACCAATCACAACCAATCATCATCTTCCTACATCAACCAAACAGGAGCAGCGAGGAGTGAACCTATCAAAGAAACCACAAGCAGATTACTTCTTATAACTCGCCTCACTCGCTCGCTCGTCTAAATTGACCTATCTTACTAATTATTTTCTGATTAATTATCTTCCTTCATTTCCTTATTATCATTATTATTATTGTTGTTGTTATTACATTTATTATTATTTATAATTATTATTTATAATTATTATTTATTATTATTATTATCGTTATTATAGCGTTGTCTGATTCGTTAACTCTTAACTTGATTGAGCAGTTTTTTTATGATATACTATGAATGAACGTTTACATTTTGATTCGAAGTTTTATTTGAATTACACAAACTATTCAATCAATCAATTAATTAATTAGGAAATTAAGATATTATCTAATTAATTAATTAATTAACTGGCTAATTGGCTAGTTAATTGCCGGGTTAATTAACTCATGTCTGACTCGGGATGGCCGGCACGGTTTAGGAGTTTCTATTGTGTCATTTCAATTCCAGGCTTCTTGCTTTGTCTTCATTCGCTCGTTCAGATTGCCATAGTCATCCATCGTCATTATTAAAATGTCGAAATCATTATTTATCTATGTATCAATGTTATTATCATTATTTATCTATGTATCATTATTATTTATTTATCATTGTTATTATTATCATTACTGCTAGGATTGCTGTTGACATTTAGATTTATTAATGCAATAAAATGGATAAAAATTGTTTGTCATGCGTGTAGATAAATAAATTATGGCTTTATTCTGTAATTAAGCGGCAATTAAACGTAATTTAAAAAGCTACACTAAATGGTCTGTATGTTTGTGTATGTCAGCGGGTAAGCCTAATCGCCTACCTCTCTATATATAATATAATGTGTGTGTGTAAGTGTGTGTGGTGTAAGTGTGTGTGTTGTGGATGTCTCTCGGAAAAATCGTGTGTGGCGTGTTGTGGATGTCTCTCGGGGAAATCCAACAGATAATTAATGATAAAAACATTAAAATAACTCTATATTAATGTCATAAATAGCCACACAACTAATTTTTAAAAGTTTATTCAATGCTTACTAAAACTAACTATTATAGTTCTTTGTTTGGGGGTAAAGCAAAAAAATACACCATGCGTGCTGGTATCTTGTTTGGTTTTTGATGGCCACGCTTGACGTTCTCAATTCAAAGTTTCGAAATTTTTTGGACCGAAAATGTAACAGTTGCATTTAAGTTACATTTTAGCTTTTATCTACTAAATAAGCTTCCGTTTTCAAATGTTTGCTTGTAAATGGATAATGGAATGTAACGTTTGACGAATTAAAGATTGATTTGATTGTTTTTATTATTTATGTAATTTTAATAATAATATAATTTAAAAATGGCTAGTCACAGTGGCAGGCGATCTGGCCAAACTAAAATGAGACTGACCGGTTAGCTGATTTATTTTTATTATTAAATACACCTTATCTCTCTAACTAAATTCTAAAAGGAGGTTTTAATCTTTAATTTTAATTTAATGTTTAATCTTTAATGCTTCATATTAAGACAATTAAGTGAATTAATTATTAATTAAATTTTATTATTTTAAAACATTAAAAACAATGTCTTTTAACATAATAAATTTATTTTTAATTTTAATCAATGTTATAAATTTTTGACTATTTTAATTGATTTTTTACATGTTTCAAGGTTTTAATTGTTTTTCATTAAATTTTAAATTTAATTAAATATATTTAATTTTTAATTAATATTAACTTGTCTTTCTTTTCATTTTTTTAATATAAAACCCTAGCACAACATGAAATTGAAACCTTAGACAATTTTGTTTACTTAATTTTGTTTTGTTAAATTTAGTTATTTTATTTGGTTGCTAGTAGGTTAGTAAGATAGGGTTACAGTTGAATGTTGATTGATTAGATAAATTTAATTTAAAAAATTATTATTTATATTATAAAATGACATGTCATTATTGTATACAATATTGTTATTTATAAAAAAGTTTATTGTTTGTTTATGAATGAATGAATGAATCTGAATGAATTACTACCTAGTTACATAAGACAATCTAATGCAGTCAGACATGACAGCACTGTATGTATATTATATGTATATGAATAATGAATAATAGTATAACTAAAAAGACAATACTATGCAATTAGGAATCACAGCATATTATATAAAAAATGAATAATGTTATTAAATGTAGCAACATAAAACAATATAACATTATACAACACTATATGGCATAATTTAATAAAACGCTATTCATTAATTGAACAATGTTATACAATATAACATAATCGTCATAATATAACCTAACATTGCACATTGTAGCACAACACAAACACAAGATAGAAACATTTAATGTTGGTTTTTTTTTCATTCTATGCTGGTATATTTAACTTTAAATCTATATTTAATTCACCATCAATCAAAAAATTATCCAATGATATATGTAATTTACTGATGTTGAAATCACAAATTGGTCTTAGACCAAATCTTGTAATTTTTAAGTTGAAAAAATTTTTTTTATTCTAAATATGATATCATAAATCATGTCTTCATATTATCTCTAATTTTATATCACCCTTAATTGAATTTACTATATAGTATATACTAAATTTTTCATTTCATAGGATGCTTTATGCTGCACTAATTATTATTTATCTGGCTACCAGGGCTTCGGGTTGCTTGCCATTAGCAAGTTATAAATTAATATTATTAATTATGTAAAATAATTTTACATCTATGTGTATATATATATGTGTGTATATACACACGCACGCACACACACACATGCACAGTAGTTACTATTGTAAGTTTTCTAGTAGATTTAATGATTTGTTTGTCTGGTGTTCTTTATTCTTATCTTATTTTCACACTTGGTTTGCTCTCTTAGATTTTTCAAATTGATAAATAATGTTTTTGCATGAATAGGACCATATCCATGATACCTTTGAACAATTAATTAAAAAAGAATTTACAATAATAAAAACTATAATTATAATGATGATAATTATAAAGCCCAAGATAGCCATAACTCTACATATATGACCATAATGGTTATGACTATGTGATTAATAATGTGATGATGATGACTATGATGTTAGTCTGATCTTTAGAATTTTATTAGATTCTATTATTTGAATTAATTTTTTTTAAATAAATATTTTATTATTGTAAATTTTTTTGCTTTACAGTTTTCTGCGCAAAGAATTTAACAAAGAAAGATTTCTTTCGTATGTATTTGCTTTGTTTTGTTTTGGTTGTTTGTTTGTTTGCTTGTTTGTTTGGTTGTTGACATGTCGTCTCACTTTTGTTGCGTTAGCTGTTGTTAACATGTTGTGTTTGTTACATAGTTAATGCTGCTTTGTGTACTGTATGAATGAACTGAACTTGTCAACTAGATTGTTTGTGATAGTTGAACATGTCAGGAAGATTGTTGTGATGGTTCTACAGTGTCAGTTATTAGTGATTGATGATTGTTTAATCTTTTAATTTTTTCTTCCTCTTTGATGTTCTCCAACCCGAACGAACAATAATTTAAATTATTTGAGACATCACTAGCACATATCTCTACTTTTAAAAATATTTCATAAACAACTAAGTAAGAGTTTGCTTTGAATAAATTTGTAAATATTTACAGCAGTGATCATAAATAACTTGAATTATTAATAAATAAATTAATGGAAATGTTTGACTCAGGCCTACCAGACCCATATGCAAAGGTTGTTGTCGAAGGGACGGGTCAGTGCCATGTGACTGAGTGCTGTAAGAATACTTTGGATCCCAAGTGGAACCAACTATTTGATCTGTGAGTTGTTGTGGCATCTCAGCTGTTAACTAACTGGCTGGTTGATTGGCTGATTGATAGATTTGTTAGCAGATAGATCAGTTGAATGGGTGTTTACCATGATAGAGTTGCTTAGCTGTTTGGTTTGATTGTAACTTGATTCAAACTAACCTCTAATGAACCATCTGACCAACCAACAAACAGATATGTAGGACCAAAAGATTCCATCCTCGTCTCCATATGGAACCAGAAGAAGGCACACAAGAAGCAAGGAGCCGGATTCCTGGGATGTGTTCGCATCATGAGCAATGCCATTCAGAGGCTCAAAGATTCTGGATGTATGTTTGTTTGTTTGTTTGTTTGTTTGTTTGTTTGTTTGTTTGTTTGTTTGTTTGTTTGTTTGTTTGTTTGTTTGTTTGTTTGTTTGTTTGTTTGTTTGTTTGTTTGTTTGTTTGTTTGTTTGTTTGTTTGTTTGTTTGTTTGTTTGTTTGTTTGTTTGTTTGTTTGTTTGTTTGTTTGTTTGTTTGTTTGTTTGTTTGTTTGTTTGTTTGTTTGTTTGTTTGTTTGTTTGTTTGTTTGTTTGTTTGTTTGTTTGTTTGTTTGTTTGTTTGTTTGTTTGTTTGTTTGTTTCCTTGCTTATGTTATTGCTATTGTATTGTCAGTATTTTGTTTTTGGTTGTTGTTGAAATTTTTTCATAAGTGGTCAGTGTTTAGTTATAAAGACAAACACACATACACATGGACACACAATGGCACAGTTCAAAAGATTGAACTACAAAGAAGTAGCACAGATGATGTCATCCGAGGATACGTGGTCATCAGTCTGTCCACCAGATCCTCATCTACCTCCACCAGCAGTCCACCACCATCTGTGCAGATCAATACGGATGCCACTGCTGCTGCTACTGCTGCTGCAGCTGCTGTTGTAGGTGGTAGCGGGGTTGCGGCTGACGTCAATAATGTCGTTCTGCAGGCAGATCCATCTGAACTGCCTGAAGGGTGAGTGGGGTTGTTGCGCTGTTGCTTAATTGTTTGTTGGTTCATTTGTTGGTTCTTTGAGGTGTTTGTTTGCTTGGTTGTTCGTTCGTTTGTTTGTTTGTTTTTGTTTTCTGCTGGTTTCCTTACATGTCCATTTAATTTGGTCATCAATTGTTTATTTTACTTGGTCATCTATTTCTCCAATTACTATCAGTTAATAATCATAGCTAATAAACTAAGAAGTGTCACGTTCACTTACACCAAGATGATGTTTTTGGAGTGTTTCAGTTAATTATTTTTGTGGTATCGTTTAGGTCATGAATTTATTTTCATGAATTTACTTTTTCAATATAGCAGAAGTAGTAGCAATATGGTAGATTTCAGTATAGAAGTCTATGTTTTCCATCTTTAAACTAAACTTTATATTTATGCTACAGCTTTTAATTAGGCCACATTTAAAAACACATGCATACAAACACTTGCATGTATACATACAACCATGCATGCATGCATACGTACGTACATACATACATACATACACACATACATACATATATACATTCACACATACATACATACACATACATGTCACATGTGTTGTTGTTTATATCTTTGTTTTATTTTTTTGTTCTCCTCAATTTTTGTGCACTATAATGCAGACAGGTGGAATGGTGATGATGATGATAAAAGTGATATGATGATGATAAAGGTGATGATGATGATGGTGAGGATCATTATTATTTAATGGAAATGAATGTAACAGCAACAAAACTAACATCATTAGTTATGGTGATGACGATGATGATGATGGCAGTATGTTGATGATGACGATGGTGACGATGGTTATGAGTGTGTTAATTATTTTGGAAGTACATATTCACAGCCTCCATTGGAACATGTACATGTCATGTACATTGTAATTCACACTTGCTTGCATTTGAATATGCAAATTTATTTATGAATGTGCACTTGCTTGCATTTGAATATGCAAATTTATTTATGAATAAGCAAATTTATTTGTTCAACACAATCTTCTTTTTACGATACACAATCTTCTTTTTACGATTTATTAAGAAGATACTCAATTACATGATTTTGACAGTTAAATATGAGAAATGTTATCATATTAAATTGAATGACAACCAAATTAATCATCACATCATGCACTGGGTGAACATTCAAACACCAACTCAAGCAACATACAAAAGTACAAAAATCATACAAAGATGCAAACAATGTGCAGACAAAAACCTTGCATACAAACATACATATAGCATACATACAAACTAACATACAAACAGCATACATACAAAGTAACATACAAACAGCATACATACAAACTTACATACAAACAGCATATATACAAACATACATGCAAACAGCATACATACAAACTAACATGCCAACAGCATACATACAAACTAACATACTAACAGCATATATACAAACATACATACATACAAACGTATAAACACAGAGACACATAAACTTGTTATATTAGATGGGAAGAAAGAAGGTTCTCCACTGGTAGAGTCTTGTATTTGAATCACATTACAAGATCCACACAATGGGAACGACCAACGAGGTAGGTTGTTGTACGTTTTGTTGTACGTTTTGTTACTCATTTGGTTGTATGCATGCATGCACACTCTATGTAGGAACATGCAAGTTTATTTGTATGTTTGCAGTTTTATATGTATTATTGCCCCCTCATATGCCTATGTGTATAAGTAGTACAGTTACGTAGTATGTGTTTAGTTTAGGGCCTCCTGTAGGTTTTAGCTAACATGCTGAGTGTAGTTTTTATATGGAAATGGTACAGTGGCATGTTTTTAAATAAGCCTGTCCTTGAAGATGGTGAAATGATGATCATGCGGATGGTTTTGTCTCTTGCTAGCACTGATTTATTTCTTTCTTGATGTGTTTTTTGGAAAGTAGGTGTTCTATTCGCTCAATGTTTATTGTGCAAACAGTTTTAGAAAATTTGTATCATCGTTATCACAGCATCACTACACAACAGACCGCCACATGCCACTCACCACAACAGATCACCACATGCCACTCACCACATACCACTCACCTCACCACACTGTCCACCACCAACAGACCGGCCATGGAGTCAGCACACAACAGCAGCCTGACATCACCTCCACACACCTCTCCGACTCGAGACCGTTTACACTTACCTCTCATCTCTGCAGTAGCGCCCAGCAACTCCACGACCGCATCAACGACGACATCAACTACCACCACAACCATCAGTACCGCAATCTCTAACTCCAATCATAACAGTCACAGCAATAACAACAACAACACGTCCGGTCTGAACCTGAACATCGATCATCGAAGGCCGAGATCAACGAGACACGAGAACTACCTTAACAGATCACATCTCCATCAAACTGCCAACCTACCTGATGGTTATGGTAGGTCCTCTCCGAATTATAACCACCACCATCATCATTTTCACCACCATCTTCCTCATCATTCCTTACATTTTACGTCACCAACATATTTATAATATTCCTATAATTGGTTGGTGATATTAAAACTTTGACTCCAACTTCACCTTTTTCCCCTTTACCCCTTACAGAACAAAGAACAACGGCCCAGGGCCAGGTTTACTACCTGCACACACAATCAGGTGTCAGTTCGTGGCACGACCCTCGTGTGCCCAGGTTACCTGCTCAGTATTCTATATTCTTACTTTATGATACCTTGTAACTGTAGTTGTGTGTCATTCTATGTGATTTTGTGTTGTGTGTGTGTGTGTGCGCGCTTGCGTGTGCGTGTGTATTTGCATTTGTATTTGTGTAGATGTGTTGTTCATTCATAGGCAACAGTATTTTTACAAGAAAAAGTTACTTAATGTAAGAAAAATTTTTATTTTAATTTGGTAGAAGAGTATTAAAATGTTACTTTGTGCAATGCTTAAAAAGTACAACAACAACAACAACACACGTTTAGACGGCATTTTCCCCGAGATCGGGGGTTGCCGTTTGGCTACCTATGATGAAACCGAAATACTCCTCGACGCCATCCACATCTGTCACTCGCCTCAGTATCACGCAACCCCGCTTTCACCCTGTCCTTCTCCACCTGCTCTCTCCATCCCAATCGCGGACGACCCCTTCCTACCACTCCTTCAACCTCGAAATCCAACGCTCGCCTAATCCCGACCCTTTCATCCCTTCTCAACACATGTCCATACCACCGCAATCTCGATCTCCTTATCAATGTCACAATGTCCTCATTCAGTCCCATCATTGACATCAGCTCTGTACTACTCCTCCTATCCTTCACTTTAACCCCACACATCATCCTCACCATAGCTCTTTCAGCCCTCTGCAGTACACTTTCCTCCTCTCTCCTCAACACCCAAGTTTCACCACCATATACCATCGCTGCTCTCACACATGCTTTATATACCCTCCCTTTCATCTTCACTGACCATTTCTTTCCACACAATACCCCACCCAGTTCTCTAAATTTCATCCATCCCACACGAACTCTAGCCGTAACTGCGCTCAAACATCCTCCATCCGCATTCAGCTTATCCCCTAA